CAGGTTTAGAACTGGTTGGATCTGAGAGGGGGCAAACCGGAAAATCCAGTTTAGAACTAGTTGGATCCGAGAAAGGAAAAACCGAAAAACCAGGTTTAGAACTGGTTGGATCTGAGAGGGGGCAAACCGGAAAATCCAGTTTAGAACTAGTTGGATCCGAGAAAGTAAAAACCGGAAAATCCAGTTTTGAACTAGTTGGATCTGAGARGAGGAAAACCGGAAAATCMAGTTTAGAACTRGTTGGATTCGACAAAGGAAAAACCGGAAAATCCAGTTTAGAACTAGTTGGATTTAATGCAAGAGTAACTGGAAAATACAATGTAGGATTAGACATTTCTTATCTTAGGTAGGCAATAGATATATTTTAATAGTTTTAAGGGATTTTAAAACTAAGGTTGCTGTTGCTTTTCCTGTGTTGTTGTTATCGTTGTACCGCATTCAATACCAATCACTCCAATCTTGCTCATTATCATCCATCTGCATCAATTCCGGCATATTGGAGATTCAGCATTTGAATTGACACTAATTCCTTAATGATTTTATGGCTTCAAGTTGGTTATTCAAATTTCCACTGTGGAAAACATCCATTTCCCAGGGACACCCATTGTTCGAGTGCTCGTTGAAGCACAGTCAAGATCCACGTGTTTTTTTTTCTTTTTTTTTCTACCAAACTTTCGTGTTTTGTTCCTCTAAACTTCCAACAGAAATATTATTTTTGAAGTCTTTTGAAGGCAATTTGAGTCGGATWCAATGTGCACCTGTTTGGCTAAATCGAAATAACATAGCATTGTACTCTTTCAATKCCAAAACGTCACWGGCGAGTCGCTTCCGGGATGTAAATGCTCAGCATGTTATTCGACCTGTGTGTTTGTTAGAATCATGCAGGGAGGGAGAAGATGCTTTTTGTTTTGGTCAAGACATTTTACTTCTGTTTTCTACAATTGGATTTCTAGGAAAACTAGCTACAAATGCCTTAACCGCGTTCGGTGAGTTAGAACTACAGCCTTAAAACCGCTGTTCTTTTCTGCTGAGCGCCAAAGTGGTCCATTATTGTGTTATAGCTTGAGAATGCATTGAAGCTTAACTTCMCGATGTTTTTGAAGGACTCCTATCCAGGATGTTTTAGGAATTGGTTGAATTTGCTTTTGAAATTGAAAAAGTCTCTTAAACCAACCCAATATATTGCGTAATAATTTGGCTATTCGCATTATGGCGCAGAAAGCCTTGCGATTTTTCTTTGTTATTCAGATTTTAATCACTTTGGAGATAAGTAAAACTATTGGGACTAATAACATTACAAAAAAGAGTTGGCAAAGGATTCCGGTAGTTGTATCATTTTGGTGATTTATGCTGGGGAGGGAAGAGTTTTCTTTAAATGAAATTTTAGCAGTAATATTCCAAGAGGCGTTTTCTTGCAATGAAAATAACTTGTTAGTATTTGTTTGTAAAACAAAAACAAAAAAGATTCATAGCAATTTTAATATCAAATGTTTCTATTTTAATCAATGTCATGGGTTCTTGTTTTTTTTCGCAGAGTTGGTGAAGGCAGAGCTTGCTGGAGTCTTGGTAACGCTCACACTGCTCTTGGCAACCATGAATTGGCACTGGAGTACGCACAGAAACACTTTGATATCTCCAAGGAGGTAAGACAAGTAAAGAAATGAGAAAATGAATGGATGAATGGATGAACAATTAAATTTAGAAATGAATGGATGAWAAAATGGATAAACAAATGGATAATTGAATWRT